GTTGTAAATAAGTCAAAAGAACAAGGTCACAACTTTATGGATAATATTCTACTTAGGAAAACTGGATCCAGTTTCATGACTTGAGATGGGCATGAAATGCTCATTTAGTCAATCAGAGCAGTTCATTTCCTGGCCCAGCAACTGGTCCACAGTTCAGCATCCCGTTCCCTTCAGCGAGCGCCAACTCAGAGGCAGTGGGCAGAGTGCTGCTGCTTAGTGGGCACCTGTGGGGGGAGAGGGGTGCCAAATCACAGATCAGCTGTTTGACTGTGAAATGAACTGTACCAAACTGCGACACCAGCTAGTTGTCAGCACTACTCTCAGAAACACCAACCCTTATTCCTTAATAGGACTCATATTTGGCCCCCATTCCCAAGTGCCTTCACTTTCTGCCAGTAAATGCAATCAGTCACACGACACATAACAATAGAAGTAGCCCTTCTCTGGTCAAAAATAATCTAATTATCGACACATTTTAATTTGTTTTTAATTTTACCTTAATTTCATGTATCAATAATTTTAGATTGTGCAATGCTCAGATACGAATAAAGAAGATCACAAGGCTAGGCTGGATGGCTGCATAGTGTTGTGAGGTCATTCCATTTGCAGTCCAATGTTTGATTGTCTGGGATGGTTGATGTGACTAATCCAGTAAAGATTTCTCAGAAAGAAAGCAGACAGTAAAGCAAACAGATATGGCTTTAAAGGTGAATATTTCCATTGTTTAGTTTAGAAAACAAACAAACAGAAATCTGATTCAACAAAATCTTATTTCCCACCTGAGAAACAAAATGCAAAAATATTTGGCGCGGCCCTACATTAAATAATGTGTAGAAGAATTCACAATCTTGCATTAAGCAGACACAAAATTCAAAGAAATTAGAGTGTGCAGATTTCTGTTTCTGGACTTTAACTCACAGAATTCCCAAGCAGTGGATACCATGTCTAGATCCCATTGTGATCCCGGCAAATGACTCCTAATAAGTATGCATAGTTTCCACTTCTCAGTCAAATAGTTTGCTATCTGGTATTTTAGGGGCACGGCAGCCTGGATCTGGGGTACCTGAAATACCAAACCAGCCAGTCCCCAAACCAGCAGCTCCAAATAATCCAGATCACTGTGATTCCACCTTTTCATTTGATGCAGTTACAATGCTGGGGAGAGAACTCCTTTTCTTCAAAGATAGGTAAGACAGATTTATCAAATCTGCCAGGGACCACAATGTGTTAGTAATTTTGTTGTGTAAAAGCAGCGTATCCAGTGTTTGTCTGTTTGTTGAAGCTCGGAAATGTTATTCTTTTTTATGGACTACAAGTTGTGGTTGGTTGGTTGGTTGGTTGGTTGGTTGGTTGGTTGGTTGGTTGGTTGGTTGGTTGGTTGGTTGGTTGGTTGGTTGGTTCGTTCGTTCGTTTGTTCGTTCTTTCGTTCACTCCTTCGCTCATTCGTTCGATCGTTGGTTCATTCGTTTGTAAGCAATTCCATTTATGGTTCCTGGGTCTCAGGTATGCCAATTGAAGTCTCAGGGAATTGATGTGCTTCTTTGGGCCTCCCAATGGGGAGACAACTCTTGGGGTCCCTGAGGCAGTGCAGTAAGAGGGTGCATGATTTTTCCATGCAAAAGTGGTGGCACACACTCACAGGAGGCACTAGGACACCCTAGTTCAGTGTGAAGATGTTTTTATATGTATCAGAAGGGGAAAGGACTGGGAAAGAGATGGTGAGTACATACATTTTGATGTAGGTAATTTTTGAAGCAAACAGGAAGAGGGGCACCACTATCATGATTGATGAGCCTTCCTGCACAGATAAAGATCTTGGAATCAATGACACAAAGCATAGGAGGAGTAACTACCCCTCAGCTCATCACGAGTTTTCCACATGCTCCAGCAACAGTGTTTGTTGTGGGAAAACTTCCCATGTGTCATATGTGCAGTGTGAATTGATGCCCACTGGGACTGATAGAACTAGGTGGCCAGTGGAAAGGAAGGCAAAGTCAACAGTAGGCAAGCTAATTCTGTTTTTTTTTCTTCCTCCTGTCTTCCAATGACATGGAAACACAACTTTTTACATCAAGCAGTACTGAAGAATATTATTTTATGCCTGTTTATTAGCCTTCTACACAATCGATTTAAGGCTCTGCTGAAGGGAAAAGGCTGGCCTCAGCCACCAGTTTCAATCAACAGGTGTGGGTCTGGTACTTCATTTGTTCTAAAGAACCAGCCGCCAAAGGATGTCACTAAACCTGTACAGGATTTGAGGCTCAGAGGAATGACAGAACTGCTGCAGTTGCAGGGCATATTTTGCCACCTGCTTATCCATCAAACCACCCCTCTTTGACTTGCCTTATTGTCAAATAAGCAGGGTTCCAATTGGCTTTTGGACCCATTTGCTCAGCTTCCCCAGATTTATGCAACACGCTAGTCAAGTGATAACTCTAGACCTCCTCCCAACCTTTGTCCCCATAACATCACCGGACATTTTGATTCTGGCGCTGAAATCCCATGAAATGGGATGCTGCTGAGTTGACATAACCCTGTTTCTGCTCCCAAGTCACATAAGCCAAATGTGGCCTTTCAGTTCAAATGTCCTTATTTGGCATAAAGGTAAAGGTAAAGGTACCCCTTGCCAATTTGTCCAGTCGTGTTCGACTCTAGGGGGCGGTGCGCATCACTGTTTCCAAGCCATAGAGCCAGCGTTTGTCCAAAGACAATCTTCCGTGGTCACATGGCCAGTGCGACCTAGACACGGAACGCTGTTACCTTCCCACCGAAGTGGTCCCTATTGATCTACTTGCATTTGCGTGCTTTCGAACTGCTAGGTTGGCGGGAGCTGGGACAAACGACGGGCGCTCACTCCGTCACGTGGATTCGATCTTACGACTGCTGGTCTTCTGACCCTGCAATACAGGCTTCTGCGGTTTAGCCCACAGCGCCACCACGTCCCACTGCAATAGACTCTCGCAGTGAGACTAGACAGGCATGACTCCCTATGCCGCTCAAGGCTCTGGAGAACTCAACTCATTTGAGCATTCCTTTTATCTGCTTCCTCTTGTAGGATGACTTGACTCTTTTCCTACACAGGTTGAAGAAAAATGCCTGTAATGACATATGAACCTTTCCCTCATTTTAAATAATGTCATTGGCTCCATTGTTTTGCCAGAAATATTGTACAGCTTCAAAATATTGTCTAGGAAATAATACAGTATACACTTATGCAATTGATCAATCAACACTGAAAGTATTTTGTACCAATGTGAGTTTGCTATTATTTATACTAGGAAAGCCACCTTTTGGTGCTGGCTGAGAGTTTGGGGGACTGTAATATGGAGCCCAGCAACTTGGATGTATCTAGGCGTGGGAGGCAACATAAAAAAATGTTGCTAAGCCCAGAACAAAAATTACAGTATTATCGCCATATTCAGCTAGGCATCTTTCCTTTTCTGATAACTGTCTGAAAACTGAAAGATTGACCAGTTGGGACATTCTTGAGGGTCGTTTCTGTTCACTAGAACAAATCTGCCAGGTAATTCCACCATTTTTAAAACATCCTGTAAAATAAACTTCTTGATTTTTTAAAAAAGTTTTAAATTTTTGTTTACTTCTCCCTCTCCTCCTCCTCATTCTATACAGGATCTTCTGGAGAAGGCAAGCTCAGCTAACCGCAAGTATTCACCCACTTTCCATCAGAAGCTCTTTCCCTCAGCTCATGTCCAATGTAGATGCTGCCTATGAATTACCGGATAGAGGGATAGCATATTTTTTCAAGGGTTTGTCATTTTTCGGAGTATTTATTACCTGATTTCAGAGTTATGTTTCATTTTCCAAAGCCTGATTATGGGGGGGGGGATCATTCATCATATTTCTATCCACAGCACTTAATAGAGCTCTTCTTATTAATTATCAGAACAATCATTTATGAATGGTCATTTTTGCTTCTTTCTTTCTCTCTCTCTCTCTCTCTCTTTGTGTGTGTGTGTGTGTGTGTGTGTGTGTAAATGTGAAGTTTGCCCAAGACCACACAGACTGTCTCTTCTCCCAGGAGGCACAACAGGGAATCAAACTTCCAACCTCTAGTTCTGCAGCCACATATCTTAACCCCTGAGCCATATATCTTAACCCCTGAGCCAGGCAAAACAAGTCCAACCTCTAGTTTTGCAGCCACATATCTTTACCCCTGAGCCATATATCTTAACCCCTGAGCCAGGCAAAACAATATTATCTGAAGTTTAAAAGGTGTTCAGGAAGCAGATGTTAAAAAAATATTATTAGCCTAGAACATAACAAAACAGAAGAGGTGCTGCTGCATATACAGTAAGGGACTCATTCTATATTTTTGTTCCACATAAATGTTGTGATGAAACTGAAGGGAGAGGTATTTGGGGGACACCCTCCTTCCTGAAACCTGACCTTCCTAACCTAGCGGCCTCCAGATGTGTTGGGTTACAGCTCCCATAATCCCCTGTAAGCATGGATGGTGGGAAATATGAGAGCCTGAGTCCAATTTAACATTTTACATTCAGCCTTAAGGTAATAAGGCTCAAATGTTTTGCACTTTTAAAGCAAGTTTCATGAGTTTCTTTTTACTTTAGCCAGTTTCCCCACCCCTGTTGGTGCCAAAATGTGACAGCAAAAGAAATAAGGTGCTAGAAAAAAGAATTGATCACAAACTTCATGTTTACAGGAAACCAAGTTGAAATTTATCAATAAAGGGACGGAAGCTGTTACCTATGAATAGGCTCCCTGGGCTTCTCTTTCAATGGAATGAGGCACAGATCCACAAGTTAGATGATGGGAGATTCTGGTTGTAAATGTACTACAATAGCCTCTGTGTTGTTGTGTTTATCTTTTGTTTGCCAGGTCCTCATTATTGGGTAACTCGTGGATTCCAGATGCAGGGTCCACCCAGGACCATTCTGGACTTTGGATTTCCTAGAAATGTGCTACATATAGATGCTGCTGTCTACCTTCAGGATGAAAAGAAGACCCTCTTCTTTGTAGGAGATGAATATTACAGGTTCCCCCTATCATTGTCTCCTAATAAAAATAGATTTTTAAGAAAAAGTTGCTGATGAGATTGCATTGTAAAGGAAAGGGGGGGAAACCACGTTCTCTCATATCAGGAATGGCCAGGATTGTGTTGAGAAATTGTTAGCATAGAAAATGTTATCGTTTAGTAAAAGGAACATAAAAAAAAGATTGTGCTCAGAAATGTTGAGTTTTGCATAGTTAGCAGTTCCAGTATACAGTAATCAGTGGTCTGGTCAAAATATAAATAAGTCAATAGTGCTTGTCATTATCTTTCATAGTAGATTCTCTGCCATGTGGTTTGGGGCTGTTGGGTTTTTTTACAAATGTGGAGGTGAATAAAATAACTCGACTGGCATTCAGGTATTTTGTTCTAGACCTGAGCAGACATTTTTGGGTGGGCACTCTAGTACAGATTTCCTGACCTGAATCACCATAAAACTGTTAAACCAGCCACACTTTTTAGTCACATTAATTATTCTGCTATCCTGGGTAAAACACCCATGCCTTTCTTGGCCCAACGAGGATGACATAGGAATTTAATTGTAACCAACGTGTTATCACTGAAGGCAGCAAAAAGGCAAAATTCTTATGTGCATAGTGGAGCATCACTGGCCTGCAAAAGGAAGTGGGGGAAAAACCAGTGCAACAAACAGAAGGATCTGTTTGTGTGAACCTTCCAAATTAATTGTAGGCATCCCCCAAAGAAACAAGAAGAAACAGGGAACTAACACAGGGTACCCCAAGCAATCTTCAGAAAACTAACAATATGGAACTAGGAAAATCTAATCTATCTACCCCAACAATACACAATTATTTTACTGAAATTGTTTGCCATAAGGTATGGTGATGCTTAGACATATATGTTGAGAACTATCATAGAACCTCCAGATACAAAGGCAACATGCCTCTCTCTATATAGCAAAGACTAGGAAGTGACAGCTACCTCTTTTAAGACTTGCTTGCCATGACTAGTATACATCTATCTGGTTATGGTTGATTGAAGACAAAAACAAATTTTTCTGAATGATGTCCTTTAGGATTCCTATAGCCAACATGGCCAATGGACATTATTGTCTGGATGATTTACAGAATTATAATCCATACAATATAACTTTTCTAAGTTCTATCTGAACATAATGATGGAATAGATCAGTGGTTCCCAAACTTTCCACCCCACATATTCTTGGACTAAAACACCCAAAGGCTTTTACCACTAGCTATGCTGGCCAGGATTCCTAGAAATTGTAGTCCAAGAACATCTGGGGACCCATGGTAAAGAACCACAGGAGTAGATGGACCCTAGTCTCTTCCAAGAAGGCATTTCTTATTTGCTCATGAGACAGGAAGCACAAAGCCACAACCAGACAATCGAACAGAGCTGACTCAGCACAGAAATGCCTACATATGGTTGAAAGTGCAGTGGTTAGTGAACAAAAGTTGAGTTCTAGTGCAGTAGCTACACTGAAATGGTTTTCAAGGAACAGCATAAATATTGCATAAACAACACTTCAGCTTAGTCAAAGTTCCAACTGTCTCTATATATAGATATTGAGACATCGCAAATATAGAGACAGATAGATATGAAGTTCCTCTTTATGATTCTCCCGTCTCTTAAAAGCTATGATGAAGCAAAAAGAAAAATGGAGAATGATTACCCAAAGAGCATCGAGGAAGAATTCTCAGGAATCAGGGGCAACATAGATGCAGCAGTAGAGGTGAATGGTGAGTATTTTCCTCATGAAGACGGTGTGGTTTCAAAGCAGTTTTATTCTCACATTATGAAATGAGGTAGGGATGTCAGACATAAAGACATGAGTATCCCACCCACCTGGTATTCTAAAGTACACAGCGCTCCTATTACACAATTGACTAGACTTGCTCCAGAGCTAAAAACCTAATGCCCTTATATTACCACAGAAACCATGACACAGCAATGGCTCTTCCTACATGCATGCTTACTCTGTTCGTTCTAAATGAGGCCCTATTTAGACATGACATTATATGCCATAGTTAAAGACCTTGGATGTGTAAGCAGTAAAGTCCTAAGATTTTCCACTACCTGCATGGGAAGGAAAGGGAACACTCTATAGATCTAGGAAAGAAGCTGGCTCCACATAGCCTTCAAGGCCCAAACACCTAGTTCCAAGGCATAGATGAGGCCCTCCAGCCACCTCTTGATTTATTTTGTTCTTTCATCTTGAGTCCTTGTCTATTGATGTACTATTAGTTCTATATTTTAAATGGTTTATTTTATATGTTGTTAGCTGCCCAGAGTAGTCAGTTGACAAAATGGGAAGGGTATGTATGTATGTATGTATGTAT